CCTCCGCTCCTCCACCCCCTACCACCCCCCATCGTGCCTCTTTGTTCCGTATAGAAACTACCGGCATCCCTTAGGACGAGGACTCGTCTACTGGAAAACTGTGTTTTAAGTGTGAAATCACAGCCAGAGATCTTGTCTGGTTTTGCTTATAAACAACAGTGAATCGGATTTGCCCAATGAATGATAAGAAAACTGCTACCTTAATGAAAGATGCACTGGTAGCTTGGCTACTGATAAAAGAGGCAAGAGATGAGTCTACAGGCCAATCTATTATTGTTTACACCTCCAAAGCGTAAGACCCTGGTCCCCATCTGGCTACTTATGTTAGCATAATATAGAGTTTCATCTATACCATCCGGAGGCACTTAGGAGGGGTGAGGAGGATGGCATGCTAAGTGGCAGTAGATTGCCGCGGACCCACCAGATTCTCTCCCTCCAGCCCATACTCCACATGGTTCACACTAACAAATAGTGATCGGTTCATTTACATTTCTTTGTTTTGCTGATATCCTGAGAACCAGAATGACACCCTTCTTCCACGGCATGGGAGGTGTTAATAAGCTAGGACTTACGTCCTTGTGAATATTACAGTTCTAGACAGGAGCACTTTGCATCTCCATCACCATGTTGGAAGGTCGCTTACCACTCTCGTTTTCTTTTTTGCCTTCTTTTATGGTCATCTTTGAAAACGCTGCTTTACCTGTTTTAACAGCTTATTTAAGAAGCATATCAGAGGTGTACCTATTATTTCTAGGGACCTCCCCAAATTAAGCCAGCAGACAGGTGATATCATAGACCGATCACAGCGCCAGCCCGCAGTTTCGTGAGCATACAGTGGCACCCCGCCTCTGCCCCCCGCTGCTGATTGGCCCAGTGGTCCTGCCCCTTGCCAATGATTAGCTGAGAGGGCTGCCTTTTGTGTAGCCCCTCTCCTCACCGCTGAGTGGCGGAGAAGGCTGCCCTTCGTGTGGCCTTGCCCCTTATTGATGGAGAGGGGTGGGCTTCATGAAACGCAGCCCTTTCAGCCAATCACCAACGGAGGGAGCCGCGGCTGTCTTGGCTGCTCCACTTCATGCCCTGTGGCTTCTCCCCCACCAGCAGGTTGCAAGACCAGGCCACAGCAGCCGCTGGCTCCTGCTGGGGAGCCAGCATTTTATTTTTAGTAAGTTGGCTTTTTCCGGCAATTCTGTTGAAAATTGCAGAAACTGCCATTTTTCATGGTTTCCACGAAAATTATGAAAGTACAATTTGAGTAGGTCCCTAATTATTGCACAAGCACATCTGGTACGTTTGCTTCTAGTGGTCACTACCACTAATATTGTTAAGCTAAAAGTATAAATTGCTATGTTTGTGCTATTTATCTTGAGGCCTTCTTGTATGAAATTCCCAGGCAGGCTTTTGCTCCAGGTGGTTTGATCTCAGTACTGGCTTACCTGGGCATGTTAATTGTCTCCTTCATTTTGCTGACAAGCCAGTTGTAATATCTGCAAAGGCTCAGTTTGCAGCCGCTCAGAAATAGGCTTTGGGGCCTTCTGTTCTAGTTATACTTGTGGAGTTGGCCTTGATCGCCTGGAAATGGCCACGACTGACAACCAAATAGCCATCATTTGTAGGGCATCAGTGAATAAATAAGATTGTGGTTGGTTATTTATCTTCTTTTCACAGAAAATATTGATGAGCTTTAGCTCTGTCCTAATGAGCTTTTTTATATGCTATTATTCATAGATAATTGGAGTTAATAATCCCATTTTCACATACTTTTGTCTTCACTACATTAACTGTTTGATTTTTCATTTTCTGTAAGTAAGGACAGCTTGTTAACTTCCCTGCAGGCTGATCCATTACAGCTTGATTTTTCCCACATGAACATGGGAAATTGAAAAACCTGGCTTCCCAGACTATTTCTGAATCTGTGTCATGTAATATGGCATGCTCTTGTTTCATCTTGAAAAGCATTTGGTTTAATACAGTGGTTTGTAAAGTTAGTACTGAATAACCTGCAAATACAGATCTGTATTCTTTCCACATGCAAAACTCCCACTGACCTCCCTGTTGGATGTAGGACATATACATACTGGTATGAAAGACATTTCAAAAGGGTTTTTTTGGAAAAGACAGAGTGAGAGAGTCAACCCCTTGCATATCCAAGAGTAGGTGATGGCCTGTTGCTAAGGCTACTTCTCTGGGATGGGGAAGATCCATGTTAAATATTGTTTCTCCCTGATTCAGACTACTGACTTCCATATCCCAGACTGTGGGTTAATCTGGAGTACATGAGTGTAACTCTCTTGCTTTGTGTCTATCCTGGATCTGAGAAACCTTTACGGTTGGACCTGGTATAGGTGTCCTCAACACAGAGCCATTATCCAACACAAGACTTCTCAGCTGAAAAATGTGGCTCCTGACCATCTCCAGCTGCAATGCAAATTTACATCTTCATAGGCTTCTTTCGGACACTAACTGTGAATGCATTTTGGTTTGCTTACAGACAACAAGGAATATGATGCCTATCTCTCCTACACCAAAGTAGATCCAGATGCATTGGACTGTGAAAACAATGAAGAGGAGCAGTTTGCACTTGAAATACTGCCAGATGTTCTGGAAAAGCATTATGGATATAAACTCTTCATTCCAGATAGGGACCTGATCCCGAGCGGGAGTAAGTACTTCTGAACTTTGGGCTTAATTCTCTCCGATGCGGTCATGGAGGCAAGTGCTATGCATATGCATTAAGTCCCGTAAGTGGATAAGTACAGTTCCTTCTCCTTGCAAGGCTGTTCTCAGAGCCCACAGGATATCCTCTCCGCAGCCAGGTTTGACTTCCACCTGAGAGCCGGTCCCTGTCCCAGTGAAGTCAGTGCTGTTCACTTCAAGGGGCGTAGGGCTGGGTCTTACAAAGAGGGATTTGGCATAGCAGTAGACCATAGGAAAAAGGCTCAATGCCAAATGAAGGTAACTCAAAGACAAGCAGCCAAGGAAGGGTAACCTATACATTTCCATATCTATTTCATCATCTGAAATGAGATTTTTCTCAATATTCATTCAGAAAAGTTCACGGTGATTTTTCGTGAAATCTTCTATCTTTTTCCGCTTCCATGGTGAGCTGAGGTATAAATACTTACCCTAGTTCCCAAGTTATAATTGCATATGTGATTTCACAAATTAGATTTGTGTCTGTGCGGCTCCTTTATAACTATTGTTTACACTGCATACATGCTGCTAATTCTTCGAGGGGCTGCGTACAGGCCAGTTATCTGCTTCTGTTCCCCAGTCCTAGGTAGTGAAACACAGTTGTCCGTTTCAAATGAATTTCACTGCAACGTCTGAATATTCTGCAGGCGCATACTGACACCTGTCTGACACGTTTATAGCTGTGGTTATAGCATCTCTTTTTCCTGATGTGTTTTAGGATAAGTCAAAAAGACATTAAATAACGTGCAGAATGTGGGTGGATTCTCCATGTACAGAACGCTTGCATTTATGCTGTGTGTTTTTGCCTAATATTTGAGAAGCTACCTACGTGCAAAATGTGCATTTGCAATGTGTACACTGTTAGCTTCCACTAGACATGTTAGAATAGGGGATGTCCACGTCTGTGTGTGTGAGTGTAAAAAGTAAACACGAAAACTATATTATGGATACCTTTAAGGGGATGTACTGGGCACCAGGTCCCATGCTGAGGCAGCCAGAATCCAGTCTGACTGCTCTAGCTCCACCAACCTCCGCTGCAGATCCCAGACGTTTGAACACAGCCCTTCGTAAAAAGTCTGGGTCTGTCAGAGGCAGGGGCAGGGACTGTGTCCTCCCCCTCTGCCAGACACTGAGGCTAGGGATAGACATTAAAAAAGCCCAAGTCTGAATTAGTCTAACCTGCGTAGATTGAACCGATTTGCAAGTGAATAGATAGTCACTTTTGATTTGGAAAATGCAGACACATGCCCACAGTAGCTCAGGTGGAAGTTGGGGGACACTAGAGCGAGTCCTCAGCTGGAAGGAAGCTGAGCTGGGGGGGCAGGGGGGCATAGCCAGGCCCCAGCAGGCCTGATTATGACTGGGGAGGGATTTAAACCCTGCCCTTGCCTGGAGGGACCCCAGCCAGCATGTGTCTAGAAGGGGTGGGGGAAGCAGCCCCTGCCGGGGTCCCCAGCCCCATTCACTGCTCCAGCGGCGGGAGTGGCTAGAACCCGGTAGCCCGAGGGGAAGGGGGGGTTGAATCCCCCCATTGCAAGGAGAGGGCAGCATGGGCACCTCCCAGCTCTGCTCGTGGCCCCGTCCCATGCTGAAGATGCCCTCAGGCATGAGTCCCTCGGAGGAGCGGCGAGCAGCGCCCGAGGCTGATGCAGGTCCAGCTGCAGGGAAGGGGCAGGCGAGGAGGGAGGTGACCTCGCTGCAGGTGTGGAGGGGGGTGAGGGGGCGCCAGGGCTAATCACAGAGCCCGACTCACTGCTGCCTCCCACCGTGGCAGCCTGGCCCGGGATGGGGAAACCCTAGGGGGCGGAGGTCAAGGCCCCCCACGTCCCACCTCCAGCCCCACGCGGGGGCCGCAGTTCCCAGGCAGACTGCAGCTGTTGCATGGCTCCCTGCCACCTCCCTCTCCCTGCGACAGCAGCAGCAGAGTGAACCATCACGGCCAGTGGAGGTGAGGGCCATCTGTCACCTGCCGCCTGCTCACAGCTGTGCCAGGGGCTCAGGGTGGGCTGGTGTGGGCCAGTCACTGCCCATGCCCCTGGGCCTTGGTGCCAGGTTGGATCCAGGTACAGCTGTGCGTTGCCTCCCCCTGCTGCTGCCCATGCCCCTAGCCCACAGCAGCCTGCCCTGAGCACCCAGTTCCTCCACGGGCAGGCGGCAGGTGACAGATGCCTCGCCTTCACCTGCTGCAATGGTTTGCTTCACAGCTGCCACCAGGAGAGGGAGGGGGACAGGGAGCCATGCTCCGGCTGCAGTCTGCCTGGGGCTGGAGGCAGGAGGCGCCCCTAGGGTTGCCCCAGGCCAGACCGGGCTGCCCCAGCCGGAGACAACAGTGAGTGCAAGCTAGCAAATATACTCCTTTGTGGCTTGAAAGTGTTTAAATGAATACATGAGGAATTCCTGTGGGAAAATCCAAAATTTTTGTATTAAAAATCATAGTGAACCTAAGCAGTAACAGAGATTACAGTGAGTCATATTCTTTCATATCCAGGCAGAACAGCAGCGTTTTTACTGTAACAGTTGCACCGTGTGAATTAAAAAGCATTTAAACGCAGCCTTTTAATGATAAACATATTGGAAGTGGAGGTGTATCTGAAAGGAGTCTGTTTCTCCCAACTGCTGTAGTCACCAGCGTGATATTTTATTTTTGTCTATTTTTATCATTCAGACACTCAGCAAATACTTGTCACCTTTCTGGATATTCATTAAACCTCTCCTGAAAATGTAGGGTACCTGAAAATGTCAATTCTCATTTATGAACATTCATACATTTAATATTGCTTTTCTCCTCTCCCTTCCCAGTGCTTCAGTATTATGAAAGGGCTTGATTCTGTCATACAGAACCTCAAGAATGCTTAATCAAACTTAATGACAATGCAGAGTAAAATGTGTTGGAAATGAGCATGATTTACGTACTTTGGATTTGCAGCGGGGAAACTAGGGAGGGGTTGAATTTGGGGGGAAAATACAGGACTTTCATTAAAAAACAAGAACATTTAGACACAGACTTATCCGCCAACATACATGGAACATACCTGCTTCTATTTGACCATGCATTGCTAGGGACCACAGTGCATTATGAACAAAGCAGACAATGCGCTGCAGAATAATACTGTACAGGAACGCTTTATAAGCTAGTATGCAATTTATTTTTTAATGAGTTTCTCAGATGCAGGAGACTTGTTAGAATATCAGGCTCTTTTTTATATACTTCTCCAGGGTTTCTTTTTTTGAGGAGGAAGGGCTGTGGGGGGGGAATGCTTGTTCTTTCATGCATTGTATTTGGTCATTTTATGGTGTTAATGACATTTAGTGTAATGAATCGCTATCCCACATACAATCTGATGTCTTTCATCCTATATCTTTGTTTTGTGTACTTAAATGTGTAAGATCCCAGGAGCAGGGTAAAAAATGTCTTTTTTTTTTTTTTTGAAAGCTGTTTGTTTCAGCTAATCTCTGCAATTTTAAGGTGCTGCCACAGGAGGGTGCCCATTATGGTTCTGATTTGCTTGCTTGAGGCAATGCATACAGTGGCTATTTGGATGTATAAAAGTGCAAAAGGATTGTTGGTACAAAGTAGCACTTGCTTCAGTAAAATCAATGGACAGGATTGATGCTGTTCGTATCCAGCTGATTCTTAACTAGCTTCTGAGGAGTACACACACAGTTTTTTCCCCCAAAAAATAGCTACTGGAAATTGCAGGGTGCATTAAATATGAGAAATACAGTAAGTGCAGTTTCTGCTTGTTAGTGGGTGAAAGCAAAAGTAAAATCTGTGTGCGACTTACTGGCTGCTGCTGCTGCTTAGTTACTACAAGGAAAAATCCTTTTTTTCTTTTCATTCTGTCTTTCAAAAATAAGATGCATATTTTATTCCAGGGTACATTGTATGTGAGTATAGTTAGCCATCCCTCTCCATGCATAAACTATAGAGAAGTGGGCTCACTATGCATGGGGCTGCGGCAGGGCCATAACACGGGCTCAGACATCCAGGTCCCCAGCTTCTGTGGAAGCAGGAACATCCTACAGGGCCATCTGTGTTGTATCTGGGCCCTGCGCTTGTGTTCCCACTCCTCTGGTCGTAACAGGGGGAGAGCATGAAACAGGTGCTGTTGTACAAAGATGGTAGTTGAGGCAGCTCAGACCAAAAGGGATCTTCCATATTGGTGAAATGCTGGTCTGCAGGGGCAAACTGGACAAGGGCAGACTGCCAGGCTCTGATATCTGTGTTGTGTAGTGCTTGAATTTCCCCATAATACCACTGTGGGGTGTACCAGTGAACTGTGCCTTACCTGGGAGCATGGTGGGGAGAAATTGGAAGGAGCTCAAGCATGTCAGTTCTCATCTCTGCCTGCATAGGGTCTGCTCCATTAAGGAGTGCAAATTGGTCACCTAACAGTGCTTCCTGGCACCTCTTTTCAATATCATTGACACTAACTGGCCCTCAGAATTAGGGAAGTGGAAATGGCTGCTCTGCCCTGCTTAGTGTGGGGACAGGAGGCATTTGCCCAGTATACATGCATACCTTTCTACCTAGAGAGCAGGAGGAACAGGTAGGAGATCTGCAGCGAGGAGCAGGGATATAATATATCATGGACAGGACATAATACAGCAGAGCTTTTTAAATAAATATCCGTGCATCTCAGCTAAAATGATGTTCTCCGTGTCCACGAAGAACAGCAATGATGCCCAGATTTGGAAGACAAAGGTGAGAGTTTGTATGCTATTCTGCACAGGTACCTAAAGAGTCACTGAACATGCCAGCCGTATACCATTGTGATCACTAAGATCTGGCTGCATGTGGCTATCAAGCGTTTCTAGCAGATCTGATTTCTTCCATTCTATCATTTCTTCTGCTTAGACCAGAAAACCAGCAAGCTTATACTTCTGACCCTGTGCAGTTTCTCTTGCTGAATTTGTTCTTCCTCAGTTCCTGCAGAGCAGTGATTCTCACCCAGGGTGCCATGACAC